TGGAGATATTCTACATCCAAAGTACAATACTCACCATGTATAGCTGTCTTTCACCACATTGTCATGCAACAAAGAAGGTCCTTTCTGGATGCAGCCCCTCAATCTGGGACTTTCCAGCCTCAAAAAACTGTAGGAAATAGATCACTAGATTTTATAAACTACCCATTCTTGGGTATTCAGTATAGTGGGACAGCAGCAGAAAGTCATCTAGACAACCGAATACACAAAGCTTAATAAGGGAGAAAATTCTTTAAAGGGAGAAAGAAACTTTCTAGACATCTAAAGAGAACTGTGTGTATGCATACACATAAACATAGTGGTATAAAATTTCTCAAAGATCTTGGGAAGCGTAGGAGGGAGGGTACATCTTCACAGAGTACCACTTTTCTGCTGAGCTCTTTATAAAATATGTGATTACAGTGGGATGATCAGTTCTCATTCCTTTCAATACATGTTCAAACTCTTCTCCTCTCTGCTTCTCTCCCTATGACTGAATGTAGCTGATCAGTAAATAGGTACAAGGATTTCCCTTGGGACAGCTTCATATACATATTTAAATAAGTTAACCCTATCCACAAAGAATTTTTTATTGCAGGGGGGCTCCAGAGATTTTAGAAATTCATTTTTGACCACCTAAGTATTCATCAGTGTGTGTCCACTAGACTCCTTCAAAAATTAGGCCTCCTGTTAAAACCATGTGTATTAGTCACTTTCCTGTTGCTGTGATAGAAACACTGACCAAAACAACTTGTAAAAGGAAGAGTTTATTTGAGCTTACAGTTCCAGGGGAATTACAGTTCGTCTTGGTGGAGAGGCATGGCAGCAGAGGTGGCTGGAGGAGGCAGGAAGCTAAGCTGTACATCTTCAATCAGGCACAGGAAACAAAAGAGCAACTGGAGATCCCACAAGGCTTAAGAACTGTCTAAGCCCACCCCAGTGACGTGCTTCCTCCAGGATGGCCACACCTTCTAAGACCTCCCAAAACAGTGCCACCATCTGGGGACAAAATGTCCAAATAGTTGGAGCCTATGGGGGACATTTTCATTCAAACCATCACACCATGATTTAAATATGAAGAGAGTTCCAAAATGTGTAATGTTATACCTTACTTCAAAGTTGTATTTGAATAACTAAAAGACTGTGGGACAATCTGTACTGATCAGCTCATTTGAGAAACAAAGATCACTGAAGATACGTGGGAGGAATGACTGCCTGAATCTACCTGTCCAAAATCAACTGTGCAATGAAAATCATTTTGCTCTAAGAAAATCCCAGAAACCAAACAAAAAAGTGAGATTATTGTGCAGTAGAAGTGCTGTATGCCATGGAGTAAGCAAGTGATTCCAGGCTGTTAAGCTTCACAAAGGCATGGCTTTCAGAGGGATGACAGGCCAGCAGGTGAGCGTCCTGAGGGAAGGAAAGTGCTGATGATGAGGAAGGTGCTATACTGTTGGAAAGCTCAGGATCTGGATACAAATGCTGACTCCTGGGACAAGTCAACTTTTTAGGGAACCAACAGAAGGGAATGGGAAGAATCAATAAATTAACAATGTTCACAGAGAACCCCGAAGTGTTGCATTCTCATTTACATCTTTTAAAAATCTGATTTAAGCTCTTTGGGCATAGAATGCTCTTCATCACCTGACAGACATTATGCAATGTGAAGAAAAGCCCAAGAGTCAGAAGTTCGCCTGGGCGCTGGTGTGCCAAATATCTTTAGTTGTCAACTTCTCACACCTGGGTTGAGGGAGCCTCAACTGGGAAATTGTCCACATTGGATTGGCCTGTGGCCATGTCTCTGAGACATTTTCTTGATTGTTGAGTGATGTGGGAGGGCCCAGTCCACTGTGGGTGGTGCCACCCCTGGGCAGGTGGGCCTGTGTTGCATAAGAAAGCAGGCTGAGCAGGGGCCAGGGGAGCAAGCCAGTAAGCAGCATTCCTCCATGGCCTCTGCTCCAGCTCCTGCCTCCAGGTTCCTGCCCTGAATTCCTACCTTGGGCTCCCTGATGAATTTTGACGAGGAGGATGTAAGATAAAATAAACCCTTTCCTCCCCAAGTTGGTAGTGGTCAGAGTTTTTTGTCACAGCAATTTGAAGGCAAACTAGAACAGTGGGAAGCATTAAATCACCTTTTGCTACTGATGCATCCAGATTCATCATGCCCTGCCATCCCTGCCACTTCTTATTTGAATGTTTAGCAATTCCACATTATGCATATTAGGAGGATGTAAGATAAAATAAACCCTCTCCTCCCCAAGTTGGTAGTGGTCAGAGTTTTTTGTCACAGCAATTTGAAGGCAAACTAGAACAGTGGGAAGCATTAAATCACCTTTTGCTACTGATGCATCCAGATTCATCATGCCCTGCCATCCCTGCCACTTCTTATTTGAATGTTTAGCAATTCCACATTATGCATATACCTTAATGAAAAAAAGCAGTCTGACCCCTACCATCCAATTTAAGACCAAGAACAGACCAAAATTGTTGAGAGCCTATTCCTTCAGGTTTGTCTCAGAACCTTGCTCTCAAACAAGGGCTATCTCCTTATTAACGAAGTATATCCACCATGAAATGGAATCGTAAAAGACCATCCCTTATCAGATTTTATCCTTTTCTGAGCCCTACTGATTTAGAATAGCACACGTCTAATCGCAAACACACGTTAAGAATGTAATCGCATCTGGTTACAACACAAATGGGATCATTATCTCATAAATTTCAATGAGAAAAATGCTGTTTTCAGTGAGCTGATATACAAAACATACATACACCTATTCTTAAACTATTTTGAGTAGAGAAGGGTCCTGAGGGATTCAGGTCATATGTCTAGGTCACAATGGAAGCACTTGCTAGGTTGATGAGCTTGTCCTTTTTTGATATTTTGTTTATTGTTTTTAATTTATGGTATGAACGTATTGCCTGCATGTATATAAGTGCACCTGTCTCATGCAATGCCCGCGAAGGTCAGAAGAGGGCATCAGATTCTTCTAGAACTGGTTGCTAGGACTTGTACCTGGGTCCTCTGCAAGAGCAGCCACTGCTCTTAACCCCTGAGCCATCTCTCCAGCCACTCAGTGAGCTTGTTTACATTATAAGCAAGCTAACTTTTGGTTGCAACAGTAAGTAAAAGTCCAATGTCCAGAGCATGCCCATATTATAAAAGTCATTCCCACAATTAGTCAAAGATTGAAGAAATCCACAATGCTGAGAACCTATGGTTCTTCACCTAGGAGGTGGCCCTGATAAAGCCTGTGCAGCAGGGATGCTGGAACACGGGTCCTGCCTGTCAATCCCTGGTGCAGTGTGTTGTGTGAGGGGAGCTATAGGGAGAGGCAGGTAGCCGTGATTTACACTTATATTTGACTCCAGCCCCTTCCACCCTGGGTGGGGTGGAATGTTGTTACTGTCACTATTCTCCAGAAAATAATAAAGAACACATAGCTCAGCAGGACATGGGATGGTAATCTGCCACAACAAAATTTCACAAATAAAATTCAATAAATCCTCCTTCTTGTTGGACACATGGCAAAATTTGGATGATGATTTACTATCCCTGACAGCAAAGCAGCTATAATGTGAGTCAAGGACCAGCACCTCCTCTCCCACACTGTTCCTCCCTCCCTGCTGCTGTTCCACCCAAACTACTGTTCATTCATTTCACCAACTCCCCGAAAACGATGCCTCCTTACAGTTGGCCAATTGCACACACTATACCTCAGTTAAAAATAGCTTGTCAGTTTTCTCTCCAGACCAGGCAGGCAGAAGATCAGGTGCCCGGGACTTCTAAGCATCACTCTCCTGCGATTCCTCCATGTCTCAGGAAACCATTCCTGATGGCGAAGGCAAACCTGCCCAGTTCATGTGGTGTCTTCCTCTGTAACTGCCATTCCTGCCCCAGGACAGGATTCCTCTCTGTATAGTTTGGTTTTGTGTTTTGAGGTAATGAGGATAGAACACAGGGGACTACATGTGCCATTCACCACTAAGCTACATCCACAGCCGGATTCCTCCCTGCTATGTTTACCACAAAAAGGCTGAGATCACTGCTCAGATCACTTTGCCCTGCACTCACAGCCCTATGTTCATTACAACTCCCAGGGGCCTTGCCCTGCCTACTTCAGAACTGCATTACTATTAACTCCCCCGCCCCAAAGAACTGCTTTGGCCATGACTCCTCAACTGCCTTGGTTTAGGGCATTGACACTGGGCTGCTCTCTCTTGGAGACTCAACTCTACCCCCTGCTGTACTTGTACTTTGAGTCTAAAGGGGCTTCTCACTCTGTTTCTGACAAGGCTATTGCTCCTGTACTCGATCGACCATTGCATGGGTAAGGTCAGGTCTAGCTTCCAGTAGAATCGCAGGATATTGCAAAGAGTAGTCGTTCAGTGAAGCATTGTGGCAGGGAAGAGGTTCCACTTATACTTTAGTTTTAAATTTAGCAAGAATGAGAGACTAAAGATCAGAATGTAAGAAAAACTTAACAGTTTTATTGAATCCTTCATGTTAATGCCAAGTTTTTTCACATATCCAAGGAAAGGCTAATTTGAATGGCATTGTAGCTTGTGACACCTGACAAGATGGAAGGCATCATAACTCATTTTACAGAATAACACCTTTTTTTCAACCTGGATAAACAGCAACAATGTCATGGCATCCTGTGAGAGATGACAAGTAAGACGGAAGGCATCCCAGGTTGTTTTACAGAGTCGCACGTCTATTTCACCCTGGATAAATAGCAATGAGTGCAGGCCTAATACAATCTGTAAACTTAAAAATCTAAAGCTAATGAACCTTGCAGTAAAAGTAACAGTATTTGGGAAAACCAGGAAGGCATATCCCCCAAACAGAGCAGAAAGAGTGGAAAGGTTCACACTGTCTGCCCACCAGCTCTAACCTCATACTCCATTTCTGTCTCTGACTCTCCCTGACCTTATACTGGTTGGAAACTGCTAGTGCACTAGAACTTGCACTGGTCAGAGCAGCAGTGGCATCTGCTCATCTAGGCCCTCTCTTTCTCCTCTCTTAAAGCTTCTGCATACTGTGAAGGGTAGGATCTGGGATCACTCCCATTGATGTTGGTCAAAAACTCCAAGACTTTCATCTTGCTGGTTTCAGCAAGGGTCCTCAAACCCCACAGGAACTCGTAGCGAGCGGGATCACTGCCAGGCACCCACCTGAATTCCAGATACCCTTCCTGCACAAAATTCTCATAGATGAGTTTCCTGGGCTCCCCATAAATGAAGTGATCTTTCCCAGCATATAGCCCCACGTTACTTAACATTTCCCACAGCTTCTCCTCACTGACACTGTTGCCCTCCGTGAATATTATGCATATGACCATTACCAGGAGGCCCGTCTTGGGGAAGCCCAGGGAACCAGGCATCATCCCATCATAGGTGAGCTCCAGGGCTGTGACAAGGATATAGGTTTGGGAAGCAGGTTTCACCACCTTAATATCAATGCCAAAGACCATTTGCATGTACAGAGAGGCTTTAGTAAAGATCACATGGAAGTGTTCCTGATAATCTCCAATAGCATTACTCAGCATTTCTGCCTTGGTGACTGGCTCCTTCATTAGATACTTAAAGAGCAGAAAATTCACCAACTCATTTACCTTTACATCCATCTCACTTTTGGACAAGAAAGCAACACACAACCCAGCCCATGCGGCCTGTGAGCTTCTTGAACTCTCTTTACTTTCAGAGTCCTCCCTGGACTGGCTATCTGAAGAGGAGGCCATACCAAGGGAGGAGCAAGCTATCTGAGGACTCTGGGAAGGATTTAATGCCTCAGAAACAGCAATATTCTCCTCTGGGTTGTCTGACATTTGAGTAATGTAGGAGGAAGTGGAAGAAAAGGAAGAGGGGAAAGAGGAGGAGCAGGTAGATGAGGACGAGGAATCCTCCTCGCCTATCAGAACCGGCACATTCAGTTGGCCCTGTGTCTCACTTTGGGCCTCAAGATCTTCAACCATGACGCGTCTACGTTTCTGAGGTCTAGGCATGATGGCTCTGGTCTAGGATACCAGGCAGAAGCACTGTGATAAAGATCCAGAGACCTAGAGGGTAAAGAGGAGAGTGTAAGTATACACGGTTGACAGTCATCTCACTGGTAAGTCTCACAAAGGTCTTTGTGTTGTCTGATGTTCTGAAGCCAAAGGGGCTACTGTCTTCCTGTCAGGTACACCTCTTGAGAAAATGAGAGAAGTACTGTCCGCAGAGTGCATCTGGGCCAGGGCTGAGTCTCCAGGGCTGCCATTAGGGTGTGTGGCACCCATTAATACAGGTCTTTTAAATTCTGGCATGGGTGTGACACATTCACATTGTGCACCTCAACTTTATGACAGCCTGGCCTTCATCTGATGTCTAACCTGAAGACAATGTCTCAGACTAAGACCTCTACCTTCTAGACCCTGGAGCTTCTATGAGAGATGAGACACTCCACACCTATAGGCTGCCAGGACAGTACTAGATCACCATTCCTGATAGGAGGGGTAAGCTAGACTGTGATCACTCCACTCTTTAAGTGCATGATTACCTTCTGTGCTCACTCTGGGTTCTTAATTTTCTTCTGCCAGGAACTGGATCTCTCCCTTCTGCTGGCGTGGGAGAAGCTCCTGAAATAGAACAAAAGGCAGTGAGGGTGTCTTACATCTGGCTACTGAAGGTCATCACTCAACTTATATCTGGCTATTCAAGGTCAACTTCAAGAAGTATCCTAATTCAGTGTGGTCCATGAGTCCTGGAATGGGAAACCTGCCTAACCCTCACTTTGATGAAGGCAAGGATTGAACTGCTTTCTCTTAATACAGCCAGTTCTTTTTATAAATTTTATTATTTTTATTTTATATGTATAAGTATACTGCTTACATGTAGGTAGGTGCACTAGTGGCATGCAATGCCCACGGAGGTGAGAAGAGGGAGTTCGATCCCTTGGAACTGGAGGTAAGGTTGGTTGTTAGCCACCATGTGGATGCCTAGAATTGAACCTGGGTCCTGAGAATCGAACCTGGGTCCTCTGCAAGAGCAGTCAGTGCTCTTAACTGCTGAGCCATCTCTCCAGCCCCAATACATTTAGTTCTTTCAGGGTTGCTTACCTGGATTGCTGGCAGATACAAGACGCCTCCCTCTCTCATCAGAATTGTTCCCTTCTGTGCTGGTGACAGAGACTCCGCAGGCTCACCTTCTGGAGAGGGGAAACAGAAGTGAAGACACAGTTGGTGCCACACTAAGCAAAGATGGGAAACTGAGTTATTTGTGAACCCTCTAAACAGAAAATGGCCATTCCAGTCCACCCAAAGTGCCCACCTCCACTCAGAAAGTGCGATGTGCCCATTTTCCCTCTAAGAACCTCACAAAATGGTTCTGAGGTCAAGCCTCCAGACACAAATGCGGAAATGTGGGGAGGGCTCATTCCCAGAAGCCATGCCCAGTTTGGGCTAGAACCTCTCAAAAGGATGAAATGTGACGTGATTATTCTGGTCTGTTTATTTAGGATGAGGCTTTAACGACCTTCTGGTAACTCCATCTAGACTCAGAACTGACACCAGGGCCCCTCCTCTCTGGGAATACCAGGAGTGGCCTTATGAGAAGAGTCCTGGGGTGGGGGGAAGGGCTCATTCTCACAAATGGACCCTCGTTTTTTTTATTTTTGCAGTACTCAGGACACTAGCTGAACTATCTTATTCTGTGGTCCTCTACCCAAAGAGGAGCTTCTACAGTCCACTCAAGGGTCCTACTTTCTTCCTACAAGCCATGGCCATGACAGTCTGTTGGAACCAAGGAAAGGACTCACTCTTACAAGTGGGCCCAACTTGGTGCTAGGCTGACCACAAGGATGAAGCTACGTTATTTGGGGAGCCCCCATCCCAAAAGGTAAGTTTGTCATCTACCCTAAGGTCTCACCTCTATGTGCAGCGTTCGGCGTCGTTCCCCTTCAAACGGCTTCGCAAAATAGCTCTGAGCACTGCACCGCCGCCCCCAGGTGCCCGGATCTAGATGCGGAAGTGCGTAGATGCGGAAGTGCGTAGATGCGGAAGTGTGAGGGAGGAACTCATTTCCGTAAGTCCGCCCTTTTTCCTTCTGTCCTTCAAAAGGATACACATTGTATCTTGATGTTCCATTATTCTGCTGCTGCCTTCTTTCTTTTTTTTTAATTAAAAAAATTTTTTATGTGTATGCATGTATTGCCTGCATGTGTGTAAGTGCACCCGTGTCGTGCATCGCCAGGTCAGAAGAAGGCATCAGATCCCCTGGAACTGGAGCTGCAGAACTATTTAGCTGCCATATGGGTGCTGAGATTTGAACCCTGGTCCTCTGCAAGAAAGTAAGTGTTCTTAATTGCTGAGCCATCTCTCCAGCACCTTCCTTCTCCTCTCTAGCCTGAACTCCAGCCCAGCTACACATAGGGCCTCAAGGAAGTGTCAAGAGCCAGTCTCTGAAATTGACGTGCTGAGTTCTACCCCTACCTTTGCCTGCTAGTGGCTATGTGTTCTGGCAGATGTTTGCTTTTTTGAGACTTCCTCTCTGTTTGGTAAACTGGTATTCTCAAGGCTCTCGGAAATATGCACTGACTCCATGGAAGGTTGGCCTTCTGAAATCCTAGGGCATTATCTCTCCAGTCACCTGTGTCCTGTGGAATCTGAAGAGCAGCTGGGTGACTGCTGAATGTGGGGACTTGTGAACCTGACCCTAGAGGGAGGAGAAGGGACATGAAAGGAGGGAGGTGCCCCCTCCCTTCAGAAGCACATTCACTGGTGTTCTGGAAAGGTCTGATAACTAGCAGCATCAGGATGCTGCTCTACCTGTTAGATTTTTGAATAATAGGAAAGATAGAAGAGTAGGAGACAAGAAACCAGAGCCAGACCTGCAACAGGCAAGGAATGTATCTTCTTTTATTCAAAGAAGATACAGTGAGAGGTAGAGGCTGTCCTTGGGAACCAACATCTACAACCAGACAAAGAAAAGGGGGAGGTGCCCACTGGGGTGGGTAGAAGGGTGTTTATACCAGGGTTGTGAGACACAGCTGCACTTTGTGGGGAGTTGAATTAGTGCCTGGGTTTGGTATCATTGAGAGTCTTTCGCAGACAGGCAGGTGAGTTATCTATGGCACTAAAGGAGACACGTGGGCTCCACAAACAGTCTCTTTCTCAGTCCAAGAAGTGACCGGTTGATAAGGCTTGAGCAAGGCCAAGCTGCCAATTTAGGGCCAGTTAGACAGTTTAAGGAATTTATGGCTTTCCCTAATGAGGTTTGTAGCTCTTCTGCAGTTCTATCAACTTCCATCTGCACTGGATGGATTTCCTGATGATCTTGGGTTAAGATCTTGTTTTCTCCTGTTCCCCTCCCCCGCTTCATATCACACTATCCCTTCCCACCCACACTGTTCACCACTCACAGCTGTTTCTTCATCTAGCCAGCATGAATACAGTGACTCAGTCCAGCTAAACCATGATACCATTGGTGGACGAAGCACAGACCTTAGCATTGACCTTGTGTAAGACATGTTTATGCCTCAATGCCCAGGTTTCTGCTATACAAAAATGGACATGGAGTTCTCCCTACATCTTCTTCTCAAAGGATACAATGAAGAGTGACTATAGAAATGCACAGGAAAGAACCTGCAAAAATGACTGAGTATTGGCTTCAACATCTTAACCTCTATTTGGGACTCAGCTTCAGGCACACAGAAGGTCAAAGAGTATGAAGCAAGCTGTTGAATGTCCCTCAATAAGGTTTAGGCACACACCACACTGTGTGCCTAAACCTTATCAGTAAGACATATTTTGCCTGAGTTGCCTCATGGTAGTACACACAGGTAGCTCATATGCCAGTGTGTTCAGGTTCTGCTGGACAGAAGAGTGCCAGAAACACCAGTGAAATAACCCCATTTTGCCAGGCCTATAAGAGGTCTCATTTGCAACATCCTAGCACACAGATGTATATTTGTGGTGCTGTGGAGCTCATGACTTCTGAGTCCCATATGGTATTCTCTGAGGGAGGTTCTATCCTAAAGGCAGATGGGCCTGGGCTATATAAGAAATGTAGCTGAGCAAGCTAGGGGAAACCAGCCAGTAAATAGTGTTCCTCCATGGTCTCTGCTTCAGTTCCTAATTCAAGCTCTTCACTTTAATTCCTGCTTGGCTTCCATCCATGGTGGACTATAGCCTGTAAGCTAGATAAGCCCTGTCCGCCCCAAGCTGCTTTATAGGAGCAACAAATAGAAGCAAACTAGGAAAGAAATTGGCATCAAGGATGGGGTCTTGAATAATGGACCTCTCTGTGTTCCAGGTGAGGGGTACAGAAAACTTTGAAATTTTGGGCTACAAAAGCCAGTGAATGTATAGAGAGCTTAATGAGCTGGATGGGAACTTTGAAGATAATGCTGAGAGAAATACACATGATGGAGGCCTAGCCTGTGAAGTTTCAGAGAGCAGTTTGAGAGTCTCAAAGAGTCTATTGAGGTCCTTCGTATGATATTTCAACTTAAGAATCTACAGTTTCTGGTCAGGTGGGGATGAAAAATCAGCTGTGATTAATAAGACCCCAGCATCATTAAGGTAAAATCTTCAGAAGTATTTCCTCGGGGTCTTCACAGAGAAGCTGCAGTTCATGGGGGGCCAAGGTTGCATCTCAAGCTGGAAGCTGAACTTGGCAAGACTCTCCCATAAGATACTGGTTTTGAAGACATGAAGGGGTCATGGAGATCATCTGAATTTTGGCATCATTTGGCAGTGTTAGAGTTCCTGTAGAGAGGCCAGAGACGATTGGTGAAGGTCCAGCTCAGTTACAGTGCAGACTCCAGAATACTGAAGGTCCCAGAATCATGGGATGTCCACCAAGGATAGTAGCATCTATAGAGTACAGCCAACCCGAGGCTACAGCACAGTCTGTGTGTGTAGTGGGCAGCAGAGCAGAGAAATGGGACTGGGCAAGCCCAAAAGATCATGAAAGAGTCCAAGATATAGGACATTGAGATTTCTACACTGCTAAACTTTGGTTTTTT